GAAAGGAAGTACATTGGCGAAGCGAACAAGGCTGCACCATAATCCGTTAAGTTGGTATTTTTTCTATAAATATTCAAAATTTTTCATTTTCATAATCATAAAAATGATAAATAAATGTTTGACGTGAAACTATGCAGATTAAAAGATTCAAGAATGTAATAAGAGATTGTGAGAAAGATGGGAATGCTTTGTATAGTGGAATTTTCATGCACTTTACCTTCAACCGGGGTGTGAGAGATACGTAAGTGTGTCGGATTATCCGGACCATTGCTTAGTGAATTCAGTGGATCTGGTCCCGCACTACTTGCGTAACCACTTGCTACATTTTCTCTCTTACCTCGTGGGACATTTCGAAGCCAGTGGGGTTGAATTGGGTCGAACGGATTACGCTTTAGACTTACCATAAATTTATTTCAAACAGTTAATTATTGTTTTAGTTTATGTGCTTCTACCTCATTTATTAGCAGCCAAGGCCCAAAATTCATAAATAATGAATCTTTTAAGTGTTTTGTTCAGCATTATCTCTTGTAATATTCATTATCTCTGAAAGAATGTATTTAGTAAGCTCCATCTGCTATAATTACTCCTAATAAAATTAATCAATTATTAACTAATTATTAATAGCATTCAAAAAAAATCTTTTTATGCTTGTTTTAGCTTCATTTTTCCCTGATTAGTTAATTAATATTTTGTAATATGAGCAAATCAGTTATCATCATTATCAATCAATTAATTATCTAAATGGAAATGTTTTTAACCATATCAGATCCAATATATTGAAATACAATTTAATTGTAATAGATTAATAATCATGCTATCATTAATGTAGATATTACACCAGTGATGATAGATATTGTTCAATTTTCTAATAAATCAATTTGTGGTACCACCATCTAAATTAATTCATTTGGGAAACAGCTAGAAAAGTAAATAAAGATTATGCGAGAAATAAATTAATCTAAAACTGGATTTTAGTAAAAAAAAATACTAGTAAAATGTATATTAAAAATGATTATCAAATATATAAGTATTTACTATATTAATATAAAATAATGTTAATCTCATTAAATGATAACCAATGGGCCTATTAAATTGGCTACATTCATGAATCTCTATAATTATGAATTTGATAACTAATAATATTAGCAATTAATTAAAAATGATTGAAATCACGTGTAAAAAATGAAGTGTGAACTTTTTATTTTATCATTTTATGTTCTCAATTTGAAACAATTATTTCTACAAATTTACCAAAGTTCTATAATTAAAAAAGAGCTCAATATTGGATCTTCATCATCAAAACATGGTCATTAATTACTCATGGATGTGCAGTATGAAAATACAGCGGAAAGCCAAAATCCGCTCTAATTATTATCGGTTATACGATAATAACCGTGAGCGTTAACTGTATGAACCAGAGAAAATGTTGGTAGTGGTAGCAGAGAAGGGAAAGGGAAATAAAGCGGATCGTTGGAGAGAACGCTTGACCGGTGCCGGTGCTATTAGTATAGTAATCATCATCGTTATCGATTTGCAGACTTGCACATTCACCTCTCTCTTCTATCTCACGTTCTCTCTTGTTGAATTTAGCTGTAGGGGCTAAACGAGAGATGTTTGTATATATGCACGAGACAGAGAAAGAAACTGTCGACATTTCTACCGAAGATTATCGCGTTTGATTCAATTTCCAATACGATTCTAAGCCTAATTTATTGTCTATTTGACTTGAGAGTTTAATTAATCTGTTTAATAGAAAACAGACAATGTCAATCATAAACAATAGTAATTAAAACAACTTCAACTACTTGAACAAATGTATAGAAAAAAAGCAATTTCTAGTTAACTTTAAAAAGTTTTTTTATTGCTCAATTTCTCAAAGAGAAGTCATCTGAGTCTATTCTAGATTAAAAATACGTTTTGATTGGATTTTTTTAAAAGCGTTTAAGAGAGCGATAAATGGATACGTTTTGTCATCTGATACTCAAAAAAATATTTGAAAACAAGGTTTTTCATTTATGTATTTATTTCACTAGCAGACAGAGATATAAAATTCCCTGAATACTGCCATTTTTTATCTCACAACAATTATTCTCGATAAGGTAGTCATTTATTTTCCTCACGACATTATTGCAGACTATTGTAAAAATTTGCTTTTATTTCAGATTGTCAAAAATTGTAGATCGATTTATTAATTTTCTGTGGCTTTTTCAGTAAGATAAAATTGATGACAAAATAAAAAAAAATATCATCAAGCTGGTATTGCAAATTTTATAATAAGATTATTTTATGCAATCGAATATAATCGAAAACAATACCGTAAAGTTGAAAGAATTCTTAAGAAATTTCAATGCAACTACCTTTCACATTTCGTATATTTCGATGTTCAGTCACTTTATATGCAAAGCTCTACAAATATTCCGTTCGAGATCTCAAAATATTTCTGATAGCAGGATAGAAGAAAATAAGAGGATAAATAAATGAAATAGATGGAAACAAAAATAAACTATAGAGATTACTATCCAAAGCTTATTTGTTGACGTAATGTATCTTACATTTAATTTCTAATAGTGTTTAGGAAGAAGAAATATGCTTCAGGTACTAAGAGAATAGATATTAGAAAATTAGGAGCACAAGTCGACGGCTTGGTATCCCCACGAATCAAGAAGACTAGTGAAATTCTTGAGCTTGCTATACGAGGGGTGAATGTGCATGGCAGGTCAGGGTAGCTTGAAGCTGAGTCTTTGCAATTAACACAAACGTTTAATTAAGCATCTCCCTACGTGCTCGTATACGCCATTATTCTCACATACCTGGGTTTCAAGTCGTGATATATTACTGGTAGTAACAATTATTTCTATCTAGGAACTCACCTCTATGTGACTCCTTTGGAAGTCTATTTTCAAGCATTTGAATTAATAGTGGTCCTACTAATTTTACCACCTTCATTCTTCTAACTTCTTTTGTTTAAATGAATCTTGAAGATCACCAACACTCATTTTTTTTAACTTTTTACATCAACATATCTCAAGTACACTTTCTTGCTTTGTTTATAGTTCACAACACATACATATATTTTTAATTTGATATTAGTGATGTTTGAAATTTGTTTGATAAATGTCTTTTCAGCTTACAAATAGAGTCTTCAGATGTAGATAGATATGATAAATTAGTCAGCTCCATGATATCTGGAAAATATGGTACAAAATAATTTTAACAGCATTGAAATGTTGAAATTTCAATTATTCATGGAATAAATTATGATTTAGCTTTTAAATAAAGCGCAATAACTATTTAGCTATTCACTGTTTATATAGTATTCAGAATATATACGGAAATTGAATAAATATCAATACCAAGTTTTGTACTATAAACATGCGAAAATTAATGCAATGATTGATTTATTGTTGTTCATTAAATAGTTGCTCATAAATTTAATATATCTGCTGCTTTAAAATAAGCACATTAAATTTTAAGTGGGAAAAATTATTGATTATTATATTTAAATAAGTTTAGTTTCAACGAAAAAAGTATTTTTTAGAAGTAAATTAAGTAAATGTTAAATTCAGTAAATTTGGTTCAGTTGAAAAAAAAAAAAAACTAATGATGAATAAAACTCTCATTTTTATCCTTTTACAAGGACCATGTTCTTTAAAAATGATGGTGTGGTTTATTGGTATGTCAATAGCTATGATTTACTCTTGACTTTAATTGATTAGAATGATTGAAGTAAAGTATCAATCCAGATTTGTCATGGTGAAGGGTACAGCATAATGCTAGTATAGTAGGGACACAAAAAGCATCAATTCAGTCCGCGTAATCGGGTGGTAAATTTCATGACTATGAGGCGAAAAGTACGAAGGAGTGAAAAGGGAAAAATCGCCATCGTATAAATTTTCACGTCTTTGGCCATTCTCATCGTTTCTCTGAGATAAATCTATAGCTCGTAAATAAAAGACTAAGTGAGGTGCTCGTATGAGTAATGGAAAGATACGTACGTATTGTTTCGTAAGCAAGAGAGTTAGAATGTTAGATCTAATATAATAGGCAATACACAAGCCTTTGAAGAAACTGTTTTATTATTTTTTTATTTTTCCCTTAAAGGCCGAGGCGTCAGGATATCAATCTAAATAGCAATAAGCGTAAGATAAGCTGTATTTATGCGTATCGTGGGAGCATTTCCATTTTGGCTAGCATAAATTTATAGTGAGGCCGAAAATCGTAATTCGAGATTCTATCGAATTTAGTTAAAAAAGGTAAAATAAAAACGGAGAAAATAAATGTATGGAGGAACAACCAGATGCGATAACGATCTCCAATTGATCTCTGTATTTTACCGGTTGGTCGATCACTTTGGCTTAACGTTTGACAACGGAAATACTGCCTGAAGGGCCGCCAGAAATTCGTATTTCAGAATTGGCTTTTCGCCTATCACCCTCACGACCCACCTCGACCTTTTCGGCTTCTCGTTTGGTTAACGTTGTACGAACACGATCGAGGAGTGTGGTTACACAGATACTCTTAATGAGTTTAGAGCGACTATTGTTTACTTTCCACCGACAAATTTTCCAAGTTTGCTATGTTCTCTGAAAAAAAAGATAGTTATTTAGTTTGTTCTACATCGTTTTTATCAATTGGATAGTTTTATACTCTAAGTGAATTTTATTTTCTTTAAATTTACCAATACTTTTTCTGCGTTGTTGTAATATTTGTTTTTAACAAGTGTTGAATGAAATATGCAATCTTCATCAAGTAAAGTAGAGATAATAGAAAATACATGTCTCGACTATAACATACATCGAAATGAAAGAGTAATACAATATCATTTCGAGAATTCACCATCGATTCTCTTGAGGGAATCTATTCAAAATTAATTCCCATCGAGATTTAGAGACTGCGGTCGAGAAATATCAATTTGTACGTGAAATATTTTTGCTGAATAGAATAAGCAGCTAGAGAGAACAAATTTCGTTCATGTTCGATTATATGCTTTTATACACCAGTACAAATACAAAAGATTTTGTGGTGCTATTATATGTGAGAATTGGACTGGATCCACAATGCATTAAGGTATCACTTGAATCATTGGAAATTTATTTGAAGGAGGTATTGCTAGCCAAAAAATATCCTCTAGAATGAACAACTTTTTTATCAATTATTTAGCACTTTAACTCCATGTTAGTTAATCGATAATGTCTTCTCATTAAGTTAATTAATGCAATCCAAGCTATCTGAAAAAATTAAATTTTTTTGAAATTACTAAAAAGTTTCCATTTTATAGAAAATTCGAAAATAAAATTATTTATTTAAATTTATCGGTTGAAAAAACCTTCAAAGTTTGGTCGAAACAGCCAAGGTTTATTGTTTTATTCATGAAATTTGTAAACTACAAGAATTTTGAATACTTCTACTGAAAATATACTTTGTTCAGTATTTTATTAAAATTTTTACACATATATAAATGAAGAAAAACACTTCTAGTAAATGGCTTAAAAAAGGACTTTGTTTATTGTTCGTAAATTTTTATTCAAATCACATTGGGTTTTCAACTCACCTATGAAAGTTTAGATATTTCATTGGTTCTAAGTGTGTTACTGTCGTTTGAATTCGACAAATTTGTTTTCGGTTCTAACTTGAAACAGTTTTACCCGAAAAATAGCAAATGCTTGATACTCTAAAAGTCATCTCGCTACGGCTCATTTTATTGGCAGGAGCTAGTGTGTAAAATGAACGAGCATCTACTTGAAGAAGTTGGGTAGAGTCTTGGTTGGTATAAAACAGAAACGATTGCATTTTACGAGGGGTACGCGAGTTGAATGTACATCGGTTTCCCCAAAAAAATATATATATATAAATTCATCTTTATTTTTTGGCACTTTAAAAAATTTATTTCCGGGCTTTTCATGGTCTTTGAACTTTATTATTCTTCCAATAAAAATTTTTTTTTTCTCAGACTAAGAATTATTCTTCAATTGTAAAAATCGTGATAGAAGTTCTAACAATTTACTTCGACAAATTTTTTAAAATATGCACTCAACCTTATAAGACTTTGATCTCTCAGTAATTGAATGAACTTATAGAGTATCTAATTAATGCAGTAAGCAATTTACGTTGATGAGTTGAAAGTAGAACAAGATATTTTCAATTAAAACTCGATAAATTTAAACTTTTTTGAAGTCGTTATTTCGAAGCTGTCTTACCATTAGTATGAGTAGTGACGCCTGAACTAAATTGATTTACTTCTCTGAATAGCAAAGCATCTATTTAGCATAAACTGGGCAATCTCTAACCTTCCGTAAGTTGAAAAAACTCTTTTCTCTTCAAGATGAATCTCAGAAGACGGTGAGGAATATTTAATCCTAAAATGCTCCATTTTTTTATCCACCTTGTTATATAAAATGTTCTCATTACGACCTGTGATAAGTAGAATTTGAAAACAAATTAACTTTAAAAATGATGTACAAAATAAAAATTGTATTCATTTATTTATGAATTAATTTCATCAAAAGATCCTTTGATTTTCGTTTGTTTGAGAAATTAATTACTACTATGATTTCAATTTGCAATTTTCATTTATATTGATTTAATTGATTATTTACTTTTCTTGAAGTACAAATGAGTATATTCAAAAATTGAATCTCATCAGAGTAACAAACGTTAATAAAATTAATCAACCAAATGGAACAAATCAATAGGATAATTTATAAGTAAAAGAATAACATTTACTTACGATAAAATAGTTAAGTAATACTCATTGTTAACAATTCTAGCTCAGTACACTTTGAAAGTTGTAGGAAAGGAATGGAAGATAAGCAGTTAATCCATTACCAGTTAATTGAAGTGAATGTAGCAGCATCGTTTTCCCTGACACGTATGCGCGTTGTATTATTAGAGTAGATGAACGCTATACTGTGCAAAATTCCTGTAGATGGAAATGGAACAGGGGAGAGGGCGATGCGCGAGCTTCAGTTAATTTATAAAACAAAGAGTAACTATAATCGCTATCCGGTGTGGATTTGAGATATATATGTACAAGTTTGTAACGACGTAGCCGTTGTCTACCAATTAAAACTTGTAAACTACTTCTCGTACGAACCCTTTTAGTTCTTTGTCATCGCAGCTTCTAGTGCTCTAATCATTCTCATAGCCAACTTCAATTTCACTTCAGTGGAGATATCGATATCTCGTTATTTTACTAGTGCTGCGCCCTCGTTACGAAATTTTTATTTACTACGCAATTCTTTTGTCAAGCGCTCAGCAAGTTAATTCAATATGGCGCTCGACGCCCGCGGTAGTGATTGTTGCATCGATCGCGATTTTAATTTTTATCGTGTTTTCTTCGAAATGTTAAAGATATTTAATTCACTTTCAATACATTTAGTTATTTAATTAAAATAAATTATATTAGTTTTAGTTTTTACGTCGTAATTATTACATAAAACGTGATATATTTATTTATTCAAAACACCGGCTTTTCTCGCTTGGCGTCCTTTTCAATTGTGGCCGTTTCGTGTTCGCGAAGTAATGAATTTAAACTATAAAGTCTTTCCGAAAAAAGAAAATAGTCTTATATATGAAAAAAAGACTTTTGTTTGATATATTTTATATTGAATATATATTTTTTAAGTAATACGCGTAATTTTGTTACTGGACATTTGATAAATTTTTGCGTCGCAATAATAAATTCTGAGAAACGGAGTATAGAGATAGTAAACAGAATTCTATGAGTAAAATAATTTATATGAGGTGAGTAATTGGTTAATTACTTAGCAAGTTATTGATTGTCTTGTAATTTCTTTTTAATTTATAATACATTGTTTATGAATCAATTATTTTTTTTTAGGCATCAACACGTATGTATTATTGTTTTTAAATTGTAATTTAATCTATCATATTTATGTTTCTAATTTTTCTTTGTATGTTTAGGTGTATTGTGATTTGCTTTTCTGCTGTAAGAAGTAAACTAATGAGTGTTTATGTGGTGTAGCGGCATCAGATTCTCAGAATAAGACGTATATTTATCAACATTTCGTTGGTGAGAAATCTCCTGAGTGGGTAAGAATTTTAATCATCTAACATATTAAAAAAAGAATAATTTATTTCTACTTGAAAAATTATATTCAAACATACAATACAGTTAATGCAAAAAATTAAACATTTGATGATAATAGAAAAATTATTTCAAAGAGAGAAAATATTTAAAGCTGCACATTATCGTGGAATGTTCATGCTTTTGAGTTGAATGAATTTTTTTTATTTTACTGTTCGTACATATCAAGTATGTGCACATTTTAATCATATTTTATGATTATACTATAATGGTTATATTATAATCACTCATACGTGAATGCTTTAAAACTTTATACAAGCATTTTATCTTCAGATTTACTACTGTGTATTTACATTGGATCCTCATTATGATTTGCATAAAATTATTAAATTTAGATTCAGATCTCAATATAAAATTTTTTCAATCGAAAAAGATCCTTTGAAGCTACAGCAAATGCTTGAATCTATAAGCGTCTAATTTTCAAACTTACAGTATAGGAATCTCATCATATGTTTAAATTTCATCCTTAACTTCAACCTCGGTAATTTTGTTTCTATATCAGTATCTGCGTAATAAAGGTAGCTTGTTACTACGTGAAGGAGGTTCCTTTATAAGCTACTTTAATCTATGGTGCAAGCGAATATGAAATGAGCATATAAATTTATACGAGCCATTCTCTAACCACCTTCAAGTGCCTCTGGTCGATCATAACTCTGCGTCTAGTGTCTTTCTTCAGCTCCTCCTATACCTCAAAGTTCCTTCAAAGATAGAGAGAGAACAATATTATAGTTTCGTTCCTTTATTGTATCCTCTTCTTCATTCGCTTAGTGTTCTTCGATACATTATTCTTGAGTGTTGATGCTGACGGCAAATTTCCGGGGTAGCGTGTGTTGGGTACTCTTATCGAATCGTTTCAATTGAAATTCATAGGAAGATTAACGGCCTGTCATACCCATCAAAGTGAAATCGAGTATGCGTAAGAAACGATCATGCCTATTTTGATTCAAACTAAGTTATAAATTTTTATCAGCAATTTTCACTTAACTTGGCGTGGTGTCTAAGCATTTATCTGTCTAATTCAGAAGTTTATGTTTTTTTTTCTTAATTTACTGAACGGCATTCAAATGTTAATTCATTAATTTAGAAATGTTTAAAATGGCATTATTTTATCTTCTGTGTGCTTTGAGTTAATTACAAACTTAAATTATTATTCATTACTAATGTTTTATAATTTTTTTTTCAGTTGTTACTTTGACATTTCAAAGGTTGTAACTTTTCGATGGACTTATATTAAATAATTTTCTTTCTTAGAAAGAAAGTTCATTTATTCCTGTCAATTGTAAAATAGCTGAAGAAAAAACACCGTTCAAGTATAATAATCAGATGGAGTACCGTTCAATGTTTGTTAAACTGAGGGTTAAATAAGTTATTATTGAAACGTCACTTTCAGAAGAGTAAAAAAACCACAAAGATGAGATAATCTGAAGAAAATATAGAGAAAGCACAGCACGACGCAATGACTTTGTTAATCTCTCAACGAAGAAGCCCATCGTTCTGGCAATCCGTCGACCACAGGAAGCAATTCGTAGTTTTCCAATCAGGAACGATAGTAGAAAAGGCTTTTTCATTTTCCGGGTTGTACGCGACTCGCATTATATATCTGAAACCGGAAACAGTCTATCAGGCCTTGGTGGTAGAGACGATTCTTGCTTATATTTTCCTCCCTTTCTTCGTTATTCTTTTTACTCTTTCTACTATCTGTTACCCTCACTTCCTCCACTGCTTGCCTTTTTTCTCCGGGGTGCTCGAGCGCAAAAGATATCGCGGCTATTGTCCGCGTAATCGAGACAATCAGAGTTTTCCCAGTGCTAAAGTTATTTTTTCTCAAGTGTCGCCATTTTTTATTCCGATACTATTTACTAGAACCACTTTTACAACAACAAATTTTCCAAGAGTACGATTGCATAAAAAGTATCTGCTGACAGTGATTTAACTCGTTATTCCAACCTTTTATCAGATGGATAGTTGCTAAAATTTGCGTTTTCATTCATTTTATCATCTAAAAAACTTCTTAAGTAATTAGTTTTGTTTTTCTATTCAAATTGTTTTGAATACCCTCGCATTAAATATTTCATTTAGTCATTAACTTATTTTCAACATGAATGATTAGTCACATTTAACACAGAGCTTCAAAGTGGATGTTTATCATTGTGATTATCTTTCATGATTTTTCTACTTGTCATAATAAATGTAATTTTCTCTTGCTTTAGTATAGTTCATATTCATTAGTCATAATTGTTACCTATCCAATTACCTGTACCAGAATGCGTGGAAAATTTTGTTTCGTACTAGCGTAAATACTACGTTTATGTTTACATGCGTAGTCTCATATTTCACATGCACGTCGAATGCAGTTGGTGGTTTCAAATACGTTATTGTATATTCAGGTATTCATGCCATATTAACATCCTAGTAGTGGGTTGGAATTTGGAGTGTTTCTCAAAGTTTCTGTTTGCTAATCGGTTTTATACGCTATGCACATTAATTTATTACATTTCAACAAAGATTTATTGAAATTTATTCATATTAATTTGTAATATTTTCCTCTTTTAGATATTTTCATCACATAAATGAATAGTTTTTCAATAATTCTTTGACTGATCATCATTATTAATTAATAATGACTGAAAGAGTTAATCATGTTAGAAAGTTAGCTGTGTGAGTTTCTTGTGAATATTAGTAGTCTAATTTAGATGGTAAGAAAATTGATAACAGTCATCAAAGACGCTCGCCTTAGCTGGTAGCGAGTTGGGTATGTATATAACAAAAAAATAGATCAGTTATCTTGGTAAATCGGCCACTTAGCTTTTTATAAATTAGCCAATAAACTTCATTAATGCCGTATCGTATATTCTCCACTTTCATGGGGATGGTATCCAGCATCTCTACTTATCTCGGTAGCGCCCAGCACATTTTCACTGCCTCTATTGAATTTTATATCGACCTAATATTTCAAGAGACTTGTCGAGGCTTCATTATGACTCAGTACTAATTATATCCGTTAAATTAATCTCTTCTTTTCTCTATGCCCTTTTCTGACAATACAAATAGCAGAACACATCTGTTAATAGAAATTACATTTTACTAAGTAATTACATAATTTACCTAATGTCTATAATATTAAATATTTTAATGACATATTCATTATAAAATCAGAAAATAACATATTTATATTCTAATTCTCCTCATACATCAATTATTAAAATGACATTTGTTGATAGAAATTAACATATTATTCCAGCTTTGTTGAAGTTTAATTTTATTCTAGACTAGAAACAATGTGTCAACTGTACACATCTTGTAATATTCAGTTTTGCAATTTGTAACTTGAATTAATCACAAACAGTAAATGAATTTTTTTTAGCTTGAAAGGCTTTTAATTGTACTTTTTATAGAAGTAATTTATTTTTGTGGAAAACAATGAACATCAACCATCACGTAAGTAGAGAAAACTAACAAAGTGAATTACTATTGTGTTCTCATTTATTAATTCTGGTTGTAATAACATGATATTTTTGTTGTAGCACTGCGACACGCTTTTTCATTGGTGTATCGAAACATACATAAGCCCCATGGTTGGAGAAAAAGTTAAACAATAAATAATACCGTTTGCTTTCTTCAGTGGAGTTGTATAGCTTGGCTTGAGATCGGAAAAACCTTGTGGAAAGTAACCGTTTCACGTCAATAGTAATAAATAGCTTTATGGATTTTGTATGGAATTGGTGTACGAGTACTCCTGCTTTTCGCCGTTTCAATAATATAAATAACGTATAAAGCGGCTCGATCATAAAATTGAATTATGCTTTGCGCTTGAATCATTCTGTCACGTGCCCAGTTGGTCTGTGAGGTATTATCGGATATACATAAGCTATAAAAACTATTAAGAAAGCCTTTCGAAAATTAGATGCTATCCGGATACTTCGATTTGTCAAGTTTCATTTAAATTTTTGCCAAATTTAGAAAATCTTCAATATTTCTCTTGAAATTTATGTTATTAGTTATTGAACATTGTTAGCATTTCAATTGTTTTTTGCTTTTGTTGGGGATATAAGTGTTTACGCTTCTGTGTTCTTCCCAGCAAACATCCGGAAGATCCTTTATTTTCTTCGCTGATTATGCCGCGTTGAGCGATAAATCGTTTTCTACGAGAAATTGAGAGAGAGAGAGATGTAGAAAGTGTTCCAAAAAGTCTTATAAGTAGTCGCATTTTTGGCTCACTACCAAGAAAATGTCCGTCGTGTTCCCCAAAGAAAAACCACTAGAAGTTTTTTTATTTTCATTTTTTCTCTACTTTTTATTTATTCCAAAGGATATTTAAGAGGCTGTACGACAGCTTCTTTCCACGCAGTAAATTTGATTTTCGACGCCTTAGAGAACTAAGTAAGCATCTTCTACTTGGCCAATAACTTATGTTTTATTCACATTTATCTGCTTTTATAAAACTTTTTTCTAAATTTAAGAATTTAAAAAGTTTTGAGTAATTTTTGATTTATTTTGTCTCCCCTATCAATATTTTCTATTTCTTGTTTAAATAATATTTTGTCTTTAAATTATATGACAATTTATACGATGTTGTCACGTACAACTTTTCGATCGTAAATGTGTTGACGGGGTAACGGTGTTATAGACAGAAAACGAGTGGATGTCGTAGAAAATTTACGACCGATTTATGGAATCGCTTTTAAAATTGCATTTCTCAGGTTTCAGCAAGTATCAAGAAGTTTTGTTTATGACTTTTATGACTAAAGTACTTGGGTCTCTTTAACAAAATAGTTGATTAATGTTTTATCATTCTTTCTTTTTTCTATCTTATTTTCAATTTATGATTTTGGCAAGAAGTCAAGCAATGTTTAACTAAAATCAACCCCAATAATTTAATCTCATCGCGATTTTCACGTATATGATCTTTAATACTATTTACATACTTTCTAATAAATCTATTAAT